TCATTCTGTGGGACAAGATACATGTAGAAAACAAGTTAAGGTGCCATTGCAAAAGACAGAGGGCTACTGAGTAAAATGGGATGGTGGGATCATGAGTAAATGTGAAATTTGGAAGTTCTTGAAGGACGACATTTGGATGGATTTTGTGGCAGAGACCAAGCTGGGTTGGGACATGTGCATGATAGATTAGTTATGTCTGCTGTTCTGGTTACCTAGTGCCACTCTGACAAGAATATACCACAAATGGGATGGCTTGAACAAACAGGAGTTTATTCTCTTACAGTTCAGGAGGCTAGAAGTCCAAGTTCAAAGTGCCAGGCTCTGAGGCCTGGGTGAAAGCCCTTCAACCTTGGGCTTCAGCTCCGCCTCCTGCTCCCGGCCCACTGAAGCTAGAGGCATCTCTTCTCTCAGACAGCTGCTGGTTGCTTAGGCTGACAGGCCCAAGGTTGACAAGTAAAAAGGCAGTCCTAATGTTAGCAAACCACACAGCAGGCCATTAATTCAAGTCCACTGAAAGTCCCAAGGTCGGCAGAGCATGGCAGGCTGCTGAACAACAACATGACTACATGTAGGGTTCAAGCATTCCATAAGCTAGAGACCATTCCCAAAGCTGTTTCTTATATACGAGAAATAGACCACATCCCTCAAGAAGCTACTCAGCTGCTTGTGGTAGGTCCCACCATGGAGCTGATTGCCTGTCTCATCATGGGGAATAACTACCACCAGCTGCCCAGCCACTCAACCAGGCCCAGGCAAGTTGACACACAACCTTAACCACCACATCTGCCAAGGACATAGGTGTGGAGAGCAGCTGCAGCTGCCCATTTGGCCTCTCTTAGTTAAAGCCTGCAAGAAGAGGTACTTGGGAGTGATGATGCAGAGGTACGGGGCTTAGGGCAGAGGGCAGAAAGTTGGGAGGGGGAGGTGAGCAGGATGATGGTGGGAGGAGGGGATTGGACAGGAGAGAGAGATGCAGAGGAGTTTGCACCCTGGACTCAGCCCTCAGATGCAGGGTTCAAAAATAAACTTCAGAGATTTCCTGATAACATCCAAAGTTTGTTTTTCTTGAAGAATTGGACACTGGTCACATAGGGCTGTAATTATAACACAGAGTTAGAGCTGGGTGTAGGCTTCTTGCCCTAGACAATTCATGAGGTTCCTGTTAGCCAAAGTCTCCACAAAGTCCACCTCCCCCTGGCCCCTGAGGATATTTGTGTGATTTTTGACACCTCTGAGATTGGGGATCAATGTCAGCATGGCAAATGGATGTCATCCCTGTTCCGATTCTGTAGACTTAATGGTGATTCCTGGAGCACTGTGTTGAGATGGACTCTGAGGCAGAGTTTTAGGAACTGGAGGATGGGGATTCCAGAACACGGAGATGGGACCTGGGGTCAAGGGTCACCCAGTCATGGAGGGACTGTGGAAGCTGGGAATTACCAAGGGTGTTGCCCCATGGCTTCCAGGACTTGTGCCCTGGGAGTATGGGAAGGGACAGTCTGAAGTCTTTTTGTGTGTATGTGTGTGTGATTTGGGTGAAAGTTTACAGAGCAAATTCACTTTCCATACAGCAGTTCACATACACTTTGCCTCGTGACATTGACCACAATTTACCACAAATGCAACAGCTCCCCTCCTACTTCCTCCCGATAGTTACCTCTTCCCTGTGTCCATCCCTCCATGCCCTCCTGCCCCCTGAGCTGTCTCCCTGTGCATAAGCAGCCCTTCTTTCTCCCATGATTGTTCTCTCCAAGGAATGTTTCTACTTGAGGTAAATGCTTAACTCATATGCCTGTCTTTTGTTTGGCTGGAAGCCATAGGTGTGGGTTCAGTTCCAGACCTGATGGGCAGCTAGGGGCCATAGTCTCAGTGGTTCCACCAGGCTACAGTCTGAAGTCTTGCTGCCCCTCAGTTGTCCAGGTACATGGTGAGAACCACACACCACAACCCAGTGGGGGTTGGGGCCTCCTTGTCAGTGGCCTGCTGTCCACCCACCAACACCCTGCACCATCCCATCCTGTTGCTGCTGATGGCACTGAGCCCCTTGGCAGACCTGTCAGGGCTGTCTCTCCTCTTCGAGCCCATGTGGCTGGGCTCCCTGGGCTCCCACAAGGACAGTGTGTGGGGTGGGGAGGCTGGCTATGCCAGGCCTGCTACCTGGCTGCCTACTGCTGCAGATGCACCCTAGTGTTCCTGCAATCCCATTGGCATGCTCATGGTGACCTCAGCAACCATGCTGTCCAGCTGGTACGGCCAAGCCTGGCCAACGTGGGCAGCCTAGAATATGGGTGCTCATTATACCAACATGGGCCACAGCCCAGGTGAGTACTCACCCCACTGGCCTGCCCCAGGGCCCTGTCCAGCAGCCAACTGGCTCACCAGGCTCCTCGGGCTCCACAGGCCACAGCAGGGCTGCCCCAGCCCCCTGAACTGTACCCATGGCTGCCACCTAAGCTGATCTGTGGTAACATGCCCACCCATCACCTCAGACTGCTACAGTTTCTGCATTCTGGCCCAGGAAGTCTTCACTTCCAGGAAGTCAGTGAGTGACCCTACACCCTGCCCCACTGAAGCATACCACCCATTTCAGTCTTCCAATCATGCTTCCCCACAATAGAGCTGTCCCGGTACAGGCCAAGCTGGAGGCAGGTGAGAGCCCAGCTCTGGACCTCCTGGTGCTAGCCCTCTACCAGGCTCTGGTGCAGGCTGGACTGGGCCTAGGGCCTGCAGACTGCTGGGGCAGGGCAGCCTGTGGAGAACTGTTGCAAGACTACAACAGTACTTGTTGCATGATGCCATGGCCCAGGTACACAACAGGTGGGCAGGGGCTACTATGGTCATAGACATAGTAGGGCCTTTGTTCCCATGGCCAACAGGACTTGGCTCCTGACAAGAGTTCTCTGATGAATCAGGTCACACTGCCCACCCCCACCCCAGGGTTCTCCACTAAGTAAGAGAGCAAGGATGGGGTGATGGTGGATGCTGGGCACAACTTGTCTATCCCCCCAGAGACACTGTACTATGGAATAGCTTCCAAAGCCAAGACCATACCTAGACCTATCCCCCCCACTTGAGTTGCCCCTAGGTCCCATCCCATCCTTGATAGGAGCCAGGGTGGCAATGTGGGGGACCAAAGAAGCTGTGGGGCACCTGGGCAACCTGTGCCAGCTCTGCACCACCACTCTCCACAGCCCCAGCAATTCTTTGAGCCCCAAGTACAGGTCTTGAGCCACAGCAGGAGCCAGAGGGGTGCAGCTTGGGGCTTGGGCAACAACTTGACTCTAGGCAACAGCCCCGGCCCTAGCCCCTGCTGTTGGCTGGAGTCTCAGGAGACCATTGCCAGGGCTAGCCTGCATGCTGCCTGGAGCTCAACTCAATGGTATGGATGCCCCCAGAGCCCTGCTCCACCCTCCCCAATCCATACCAACCCCAAGTTCCCTGGCTGCTTCTTCTTTGACAAGTGACTCCTCCAGGGACCCTGACCTGTTTCCTTACTGATCTGTAACCCCTGACCAACCCCGCTCCCACAGTGCCCCTCCTTCTATGCCAGCATTTAGGATTTAGCTTTCTTGCTGGGGACCCAAGGCTCTGTGAAGAAGCTTGAGAGGAAATTCTTGGCCAAGATCCAGCCCCTATAGGGGCTGCTGCAGCACATACACAGGGCTGTCCCCCCTGGACTCCCAGCCCTTTGAGCCCACCACCACCTGCTGACCAACAGGGAGTCTTCCTATACCCTGAGAGGCTGCTGATGGGGAAAGAAACAAGGGCAGGTGAAGCAGGGGACCCTTAGTTCGTCCCCTCCTAGGCCCCCTGGCCATGGGTGCCAGCTCCAATCTTTCTTCTGCAGGCACCCACCACTGAGATGATCTGAGCTTTCTTTCTTTTCCAGCTTGCAGAAGTGAGAAATGGAGCCCTGGGTAGGGGCCCTGGACTCCTCCCTCATCTCTGAGGTAACCCTAGGTCAACCCCCCACTCTTACTCCTTAAAATGGATCTTCTGGAAGAGATCATACCAGAGCTGCAAGGTGGACTCCAACCCTACGGTAGGTCCAGCCTCAGCTCAACTTCTGACACAGCTTCGTAGGGGACTCATGGCCCTGTCTCTGCAGAGATTGCCTTCAAAGCCTCCCAGGAGTGACTGCCCACTCAGTGCCTGCCCCAAGGAAACACAGCGGTAAAGCGACCCATCTCTCTCCCTCTTCATTCTCTGAGCTTGTTCCTAACATGACACCAGTGGCCACATTTTCACCATTTTTATTCATTAATTTTGTCAGGTGGTTTAGTGGAGTGGGGGGTGGGGTGGACAGGAGTTACTCCCCAACCCCCTGTGCGCAGGGCAGGACATACTGGGGGCTCCTGGAGGAAGAGGGAGGACAGGGTGTTGGCCCAGCCCACCCTCAGATTTGTGCAAGGGCCCCCAGAATGAAGGATAGAGAGATAGGTGTGCCCTTCAGCCTAGAGTAGGGAAGCTATGATCATAGTTTAGGGACCCACATCAGAAGCAAGTTACAAAGTTAGAAACCTGGGGTAGAGATCAGGAGCTCAAGAAAATACAAAACACAGGATGGGGTTGGGCCAAGATCCAGTGAGGGGAAAGGGGAAGGAGGACCACCCCTCCCAGCTCTGGCTCAGCAGTAGCTTCGGGTCTGGCCCTCAGAGTGGAGGGACCAGCTGGGAGTGGGGTACGGGGGTGGGGGACCAGCCCCCTCCCCTCCTTGACCCCCATTCCTATACAAAGACCCTCGGTAGTGTATACTCCCCCTCCCATAGGCTGGGGGGGCTGCCCTGTAGAGCAGGAGAGGTTCAGGTGGGACCCAGGGCCCAGGCACCCTATGAGGAGTACGGGGGCACCAGGGTGCCCGCTGTTTCTGGGGGAGGCGGGGAGCTGGAGGCCCAGGATCTGAGCGGCTCCGGGGGTGGGCAGGAGGGGAGGAGGAGCAGGAGGAGGCAGGTGAGGGCCTCCTGGGCCCTAGAGCTAGGTTGACATAGAGGGGCTCAGGCCTAATGGGGCGCCGGGCAGGATGCTGGGGTGCTAAGTAGCCAAGGTGGTCAGTGGGGAAGCATGAGGGAGGTGGCGGGTAACTAAGCACGAAGTCGGGGGACCTATGGAGTGGTGGTGATTGGCCAAGCATGCCATATGAGGCATTGAGCCTATCGGGGGGCATAGAGCGGAAAGGGCTCCAGGACCGGGTAGGGGCGGAGTAGGGGGGCCCCTCACCACCCCCAATCTCATAATACAGATTCTCTCCCCTGTCGAGGGGTGCAGGGGGTCCCAAGGGGCTTCTCCAGACAGGAGTTGGGGAGCTGGGCTGGAAGGATGGAGGGCCCAGGGGGTACAAGCTTGGCTTGGGGACCCTGAGCAAGGGTGGCAGGCACTCCCGGGGGGCTGGTGAGAAGAAGCTGGGGGTAGGAACCTGTGAGGGGACAGAACATAGTAACTGGGCTGTAGTCCCTGGTGTGTCCCTCCACCCTCGACCCACTCTGAGCTGGGCACTGACCTGGGCAGGGCCTCTGAGTCCCTTCCTTGAGGCCCCTGTGGGCTGCTGATTCCTCACCAGGCTCCCATCACTTTGTTGCCTTGGTAGGTGTGGTGGGGGTCCCGGGGCCCAAGCCCCCAGGTGAGCTAGGGGGTTGGGGGGTGGCCCACTCCCTGAGGTCCCGGGGGGCTCCCCTCCCACCTCCAGGGATAGTGAGCGGCGGAAAGGGGAGCGGGGAGCAGGGGCAGTGCCCCCATGCTCCTGTTGGCTCTGTTTCTGGGCCACCTGCTGAGCCCGCTCAGCCAGGGCCAGGGCCATGAGGCGTGCTGGGTTCTTGGGGGGTGGGGGTGGGGCACCTCCAGGACGCAGGAGGGACAGGGGTGGGGGCAGCAGTGGAGAATCCATACCTATGCAGAGAGGAATGGGAAGAAGGGCTGGTCAGTCAGGCCCTGGATGCAGCTTGAGGGTCTATGAGGATGTAGGGCGTACCCAGCAAGACTTACCATGCTGGCTCTGGGGCCCTCGGGGACCAGGAAGTGCCAGCTTGCTGCAGATCTCCCGCTGGCAAGTGTCGCTCAGCTGGGTCTCAGCTCCACGGAGCAGCATGGGAATGAGATGAGGGCGCAGGCCCGGCCCAGGGCTGAGGGCTGATGGTAGTGGTGGCGATGGGGTCACTGAGGCAGATGTCCCCCCAGCCCCTAGGAGCTCTAGCACAGCAGGTGGCACTGATACAGCCAGGGGCTCTGAGATGTCCAGGGCAGTGGGCAAGGCAGGGCTGGCGGGCCCACGGGGTGAGAGCGCCTGGGGGGTTGCCCTGGGTGGGAAGGCAGAGGCAGGGGCCGGGGGTGCAGGGCTGGCTGGAGGTGCAGGGTCCCCTGGGGTGGGGCTGCTGCAGCGAAAGGTGAGGGGATCAAAGTCAAGCCCCCGGAGCCCCTCCAGGCAGCGGGGTGGACTGAAGTCCAGCTCATCACCATCGTCTAGCCAGGCAGAGGTGCGGTGTGAAGGGGACCTGGAGGGGGCGCCCAGTCCAGCTGCTGAGGACTCGGAGGAGGAGGAAGAGGATGACTCGGAGGAGGAGGAGGAGGAGGAAGACAGGCTCTCGCAGGAACCAGCAGGTGCCGGGCCCACAGGGAAAGCATCACTGCTCGAGTGGGGTCTTCGAAGCCTGTGCAGCCTCTGGAAGCCTGGAAGGGTGGTGGTCGGGTGTTAGGGGTCAGAACTTTACCTACTCAACCATTAGTGAGAGTATAGCACCCAACCCAACAGACCGAAAAAAGCCATTGCCATCAAGTCCCAACTCATAGCGACCCCCATTGGGTTTCCAAGGCTGTAAATCTTTATGGAAATAGATTGCCTCATCTTCCTCCCCTGGAGCAGCTGGTGGGTTTTGAACCACAGATCATCTGGTTAGCATCCAAATGCCTTACCCTCTATGTTACCAGAGCTCCGTCCAAGCCAACAAAGAGTTAAGGAAATGGCAACTTCCCTGGAGAGGGCAACGAAGGCTGTGAATCTAGGAAGAGCTGCTCAGGCACACAGAGCACCGGAAAAACTTAGTCCAATTGAGTCGATTCTGACTCATAGCAACCCCCACTGGGTTTCCAAGACAATGAGAGAAATGAATGGCAAAACCATGAAGAGAACCATTCCAGACTCAAAGTCTGACAACCACATGGGTTGTGAGCATGAAACCAACAGGACCTCACCCACAGTTTCCAGAAGTCCAGGTTGAGAGAACTACTTTTGGAAAATAACTGGACCTTTTCTCATACAGATGAATGGGGCATACCCTGCAGGAAAACACCATCACTCCTGGGCATGTAGTAGAGCAATGTCCCAGGAGCATGGACATGCCAGGGACCAGCTCTGTCAATGCTAGAACAAGAAGAGCCCCCAAACCCATTGGGTAAGATGTGACTACACTCATGATGGTATAGTCACACATGGAGTACTAGAGAGGAATGAGCTTAGCCACACTCAGCATCAAGGGTTATAAACTACCGTTTATAACGCAGTGGTAAGTTAAAGAAGTCAAGTTCTACATACAGCATGATACCCTTTAAATGAAGTTTCAGATATGAGTAAACCCAAACAAGATGGAATTTAGGCACCACCTGTATGTAATAAAACCCCAACAGCAAGAGGTTGGTGATGATCAAACTTAGAGGAGCTTCTGGTGGGAAGGCAGCAGGTGGGAGAGGGGAGCTGCTCACAGGTAAAGTACTGGGGTTCTTCTGGTTCTAGCATTGGCCAGTGACTCAATGGGTACTCATATTATTTAAATCTTTTAGAAAATGAATGAATAAACAAAACTGCTTTAAAGGGTCCTGAATGGACCAATGATAATAATATGTCCCGAACCAACAGTGATGCTTTATCCAACTCACTGTACCTAATATCCAGATTAAAAATTTTTAAATCCAAAACCAAACTCATGGCCATCGAGTCAGATCCAACTCATAGCGACCCCTCCTTGAGTTTCTGAGGTGGTGTCACTATGGAAGTAGATTGCCCCATCTTCCTTCCAAGGAGTGGCTGGTGGTTCAAACCCACCAGCCTTCTGGTTAGCAGTCAAATGCCTTAGGCACTATGCCACCAGCGGTCCAGGACTCCCGAATCTGAAGTCTAGCACCTGGAGGCCAACCCCAAGGACTCTAGCCTCTCCCAGCTCCAGCTGGACACTGGTATGGCCCACCGGGTGCTCACCAGCCCCGCTGGCCTGCGATGACAGAGACTCCTCACTCTTGGCAGATCTCAGTGTGACTGTGTCAGTTCGGCTACCTGCAAGGAAAAGCAGAAATCATAGGGGCACGCTCCACACACCGCCTCCTCCATGCTGACTGCCTCGCTTCTGACCTGACGGCTGCGATGGGGCACGTGTGCTCCCCAGCCAGGGCAGAGGCCTCATTCGGGGGACGCCAGGGCCCCGACCCAGCGCAAAGAAGGTCTTCCAGCTGCTGACCCCAGGCTTCCGCTGTTTCTCTCCTCTTTCCCTTTTCCTCCTGGGATTTGGGTGAGAGACAGGGAACAGTGTGAGGACACTAGGCCTCCAGGCCTGCCCTCTGCCCGCCCCCAGCCTCTCATCTACTCACTTATCCACAGGTGACGCTGGGGCCTTGGGGGTGGTGGGATCGGTGGATGTCCTCAGCCGGCCCTGTGTGCGGGCCTGGGCTTCTTCCAGTGTCAGCAGGCGAGTAGAGGGACCACTGCCTGCGAGAGACTTGGGTCTGGGGAGGAGGCAGCGGCCTGGGGAGTGTGGAAAGAGGATGCCAGTCAGCCTTGGGGTCACCCAACGCCACAGACAAAGCCAAGCGCTACAGCCCAAGCCCCGGCCCCACAGCGTGCCCACCCGGGCTGGCAAGGCAGGGGACCAGGGCCGATCAGGCGGGAATGGGTGGGCAGCAGGCAGGTGAGGAGAAGGAGTGAGGCAGAACGAGCTGATGAGGAGGCAGCTCCCAGCAGCCAGCGAGGGCAGCGGCTCTGGCTTCAGTTACCTCAGGCCAGAGGGCCCTCCGATGTGCTGAATCCTGACTGGGCTGGGGTCCAGGGCAGGGCAGGGAGTCTGGGAGGGGCCGGGGCGGGGCCCAGTCTGGGGACCTCCCACCTCCTCCCAGGTGGACCCATGGCCCTGAGCGCCCCCAGGAGCTACAAGGGGTGAAGGAAGAGCAGCGTCAGGGCCAAGAAGTGGGGATCCTGAGCAGAGGAGCTGAAATGAGAAGGAGGCTGGGGGACGGAGGCTGAGGTGGGGTCCTCAAGGAGCTGGGAAGGAAGCCCAGCTTCACCAGGGTAGGGATAGGGCTGGAGTCCACTTGCCCTCCCACGGTGGTCCTGACAAGGAAGGGGCAGTAGCCAGGACATCAGGGGGTGGGGTATGGGCATACCTGCAGGGTCGAGTCCAGCAGAGGCAAAGGTGTCGCTGAACAGGACATCTACATGGGTGAGCAAGAATTCCACCACCACTGACTGCACCCGAACTTCCCGGAAGGCTGCAGCTCCACCCAGTCCCACAGACTCCAGCTCCATGGACCTGGATGGGGTGGGAGGGGAGAGAAGTCAGGTGCCTTGAGCTGCCAGGTTTTGGCTAGGTAAGGTGGGGAGCCAATGGAGGCAATGACTATCTATTCAAGACAATCACATCTGGAACTTGGCTGTCAACCTTCTCCAAAACCTGCTCGCTCTATATGTTCCCCAATTCCCTCTATATTTTCCCCAACTCAGTCAACAGTCTTTCTTATGGCCCAGGCCAAACACCTTGGGGTCTTTCTTGACCCTTCCCTCCCTCCTTCACACCTACATCCAACCTGTTAGCAGACCTTGTTGGCTCTGTCTACAAAATCTATGTAGAATCTAAACTCTTCTCTCCCACTGCTGCCCCCACTCTGGTCCACCTTCCATCCTCTCCAGTCTGAACCATCACAGCAGCCTCCTCCCTGGTCTCTCTGCTTTCACTCCTGCCCCTGCAGCCAGAAAGCCTGTGAACGCCTGAGTCAGATCAGCACCCTCTTGGCTGCACCTCACTCCAGGTAAAAGCCAAAGCCCTCACTGTGACCCACAAGCCACTCCTGCGTCTGGTTGCCCCATCACCTCTCCAACCTCATCACCACCTCCCTCTCAACCTCTACTCAGTTCTTGCCACACCACCCTTGCCCCCTCTGCCTGGTTTGCTCCTCCCCAGATGTCCACATGGGTCCTCACCTCCTTTGGGTCTTAAATGTTACCTTCTTAGTAGGGTCTTCCCCACCAACTTCATTTAAAATTGTAATCCTCCTCTCTAGTCCCATTCTCTCTTCTCTGTTCATTTTTCTCCATAGTTCTTACATCCACCACCTGACATACTATCATACTATTTTACTTATTATCTGTTTCTCAAAAGAATGTGAGCTCTGCCTGCACAGAGATCTTACCTGTGCTGGTCACCATCAAATCCCCTGGGGCTTGCTCTGCTGCTAGCCACGGAAAGATTCTCACTGAAGCCTTCCCTGCCACTCTACTTTCACACTGTCATGACCCTGAGTATCTTCTTTCCCTGTATTTAGTTCTCCTTGGCACTCATCACCTTTGATATTACTCTGTATTTGTCTTGAGATGGCTCATTATACACCTTTCCCATGATAACGTGAGGACAGGAGAAGAGGGCCCTGCTCACTTCTGTGTCCCCAGTGCTCAGAACAGACAAGACAACCAAAGCTGAGTTGGTTCCTGGGTGTGAGGGAGATCTGAGGCCTTCCCCATGGGAGGGAACTGTGGGGCAGGGCTGGTAGCTGCCAGCTTACCGCAGCAGATTGGGAGCCCAGACGATGGCCAGGTTGCGGGCGTGCATGCTGGTGTTGGCGCTGTGTCTCGCCATGCGGGCCAAGTGTCTCAGCAGGTATTCCAGGGTTCTGAGAGTAGGACCGGATGGGGACATCTGAGCCTCGACTCCCTCGAGACCCCTACAATGACTCCCCGCTTCTCCTGGTTTACCTGTAGTGCGGTGGGGGCAGCTGCTGGATGACGTCATGGACCCGCACCATGCGCTCTTCCTCCCTCGGCACTGACATGGCCTCCTGAGATTGCGGACAGGTATGAGGGGGCTGGGCCAGATGCATCCCAGCAGCCCTCCAACTTTGCCCAGCTCCCTTACTCACACTGAATTTCCCGTAGAGCTGGTAGGTGAGCAAGGGGTTGGGCAGCTCTCGGAAGTAAAGCTTGCAGAGGGAGGACACGCTGTGGATGTCCTGCAGGAAGGCAGGGCCAGATAGTTCAGGGATCCTCTCGCTGTCAAACTCATGCCTGAGGCCACGAGGCCAAGGAGGAGAAAGATTCAGGTCAGAGCTGACTACCTCGTCTCATGTTTTTGTTCGCCCCTCTCCTGCTTCCAAGTGTCCACAGATGGATGCAACCCTTTTCCCAGGTTCTGTGGGCTCTTCAGAGGCAGAAACTTACTGAACCCCCTGACAGCCCTGTGTGGCAAAGACAAGGCTGCCTCATTTTGCAGGAAAGGGCACTGAGACTCAGGCGGGAGATGCCCCTGCCTATAGCTACCCAAGGCTATCTGACCCCAGAGTGTGCCCACGTTCCTACCACAACGTTGTGCCATTCTCCTGGCTTCAAGAAGTCACTGGAAAATGCAAATCAAATCACAACTCTCTGCTGGTGCCCTATTACATGGAGGTCAAAGCTCCAACTCACCATGACCTCTTGACCTTGTCTCTCACTGGGTTCCCCAGGCTTCACTCTCTGACTTCATGGCCTCCCGTCAGCCTCTTGCTCTTGCCTCATCCCTTCCGACCTCTAGACTTGTGTTTGCTCTTCCTCTTTACCTCAAAGGTTTTCCCTTCACTTGAATAAAGCCAAAATCCTAACAGGATTTTGGCCCCGCATGAAGATCGCAGATAGAATGGGAGAATAATGTGGAACGAGACCCAAAATCATAAAAAAAAGACCAGGTTTACTGGTCTGATGCCTGGTGAGACCCCTGAGACTATGGCCCACATCATCCTTCAGGCCTGGAATTGAACTCATTCCGTGGCTTCCGGCCAAACAGCAGACAAGCATACAGGGTGAACATTTACCCTAGATAGGTACACTCCTTAGAACAATAATCATGGGAGATCAGAAGGGCAGTATTTGCACAGGGAGCTAGCTGGGGGGCGGGGGGAGGCGGGCAGGAATGCATAGGTAAGAAGGACACAGGGAAGAGATAACTACAGGGAGGAAAGCTGTTACATTGTGGGGAATTGCAGTCAATGTCATGAAACAAAATGTGTATGAAGTACTGTATGGAAAATGAATTTGCTCTGTAAACTTTTACCCAAATCAAAATTAAAAATTTTAAAAATTAAATTAAAAAATAAGCCCTGCACATCTACTGTTTTCTCTTTTGCACTGGCTGTTCCTTGCACTGTGAACACTTCTCCCAGGCTGTCCACACGGCTTACTCTCTCCTCTCCTCCGGAGGTTGCCCTCAGGAAGCGCCCTCTGCCTACCCTGTTTAAAACGGTGGTACTCCATCCTGCTTTATTACCATCCTTACCCACAATCTATTTTTTTCTCCAGAGGTCTCTCCCATGTTCTAGTGATCTCTGTCATTTCCTTGTTTGTCTCTCGCTCTGGCACGTGAGCCCTGGATCGGCAGGGCTTTCTAGTCGTCTCATTCACCACTGTGTCCCCGTTGCCTCAAACAGTGCTTGATATAAGGCAGGTGCTCAATGAAGGCTGATTGCTCTGCTTAGAATGCTAATAGTCTCACCCTTCAGGCCTCGGCTGGGATGTCATCTCCTCCAGAAAGCCCTCCCTGACTTCAGTCTTGGTCCACTCCTGCCCTAAGCTATCCCAACTCCTGATAACTCTGTGTCCCCAGCACATGGCACAGGGCCTAGAACATAGATGGTATTCAGTCAATGTCTGTGGAAGGAAGAATTGGGGAGGGCGGGCTCACCGCAGCCTCTGGATGTTGGAGGACACGCCTGAGAGCCGGTAGATTCCGTCTACCACCCCGTGGGCCTCGATGAACTCTGAGCAGCAGCGCAGCACCTGGGGCACTGGGTGAAAACACCAGGGTCAGGATGGGGCAGGCTGCGCCCTGCATGGGACGGGTAGGCTAGGCAGTTCAGCCCAGGCCTCACCGTCCTGGCCTGAGTTGCTAAGGTGCTCTCCGAGGTCACAGCCGAACACCCTCTGCCGCAGGATTCCTCGCTGGCGCAGTCGTTGTCGGGAAGGGCGGGAACGCATGAAAGTACGGAGGAGGCCAGCCAGCTTCCCACGTGGCCGGGGCACAGCTATTGGGGCAAAGGCAGGCCACACAGGGTCAGCGCAGTCACAGGCCCGGTGGAACACGGGCACAGGGACATGGCCCCTTATTTCCATACCTGAGGTCAGAGAGGAGACACCCTGCGGAATTGGGATGCTACATGGGGGGCCGTCAGCATCTGTGGGGTGAACAGTGGGTGGAAAAGATGGGCAATAGCCTAGGAATGCAGACAGCACTCCCACCCTGTCCATGGCATCTACCTGCTTTCAGCCCAGGACCTGGTCGCTCCGTGAACAGTTCCACACACTCACTGGGAAAGAAACCAACCTGAGGAGGGTTTAGGGTAAGTGGTGAGGCTACCCCAGCTTGCACGCTGCTTTAGCCCCCACCTGTCTGCTCCACGTCAGCCTCACCTGGAAGCCTCGCTTGCCCCGCCACCAGCTCCGATCCTCTGTGGGTGGCATGTCAATCACCGAGACGATGTCTCCCACCTGGAAGTGAGCAAGTGGGGGTCAGAGACAGCAGGGGGGGTGGGAGCCAAGCTTGCGTCTTCTCCTCTACAGCCTCACCTCGAAGGACAGCTCATCTGGTGCCTGGGCTGTGTACCGTTTGACCACGTGGGCAGCGGCCACTGCAGGGATATTGAGTGAGGCTTCCTCACTGAGGAGTAGTCGCCGGCCGTGATTGTCCAGCTGAGACGGAGAGGGATGTGGCAGCGAGAGGCCAGAAGGAGGTGATCATAAAGGCAGGGAGGGTTCCTCCATGCCCAGTGGGGGTCACCACCTGTCCCCCACCTAAGAGACCCTGTCACTCAGAGCTTATTGGTCAAACCCTTAAATTCTTGCCCTCTCGTAGAGCCTGGTGAGACCCCTGAGATTATGGCCCCGAGCTACCCTTCAGGTCTGGAATTGAACTTACTCCTGTGGCTTCCAGCCAAATAACAGACAGGCATCTGGGGTGAACATTTATATCAGGTAGACACACTTCTTGGAGAGATCAATCATGGGAGACACATGTGTGCACAGGGAGATGGCTGGGGGGCGAGGCATGAGTGCATGGGAGGGAAGGACACAGGGAAGAGCTAACTATGGGGAGGAAGTGGGAAGAGAGCTGTTACATTGTGGGAAATTACAGTCAATGTCATGAAACAAAATGTGTGTGAACTGCTGTATGGAAAATGAATTTGCTCTGTAAACTTTCACCCAAATCACAATAAAAATTAAAAGAAAAGAATTCTTGCCCTCTCCAAAGCAAAATGCCTTCTTTTCCTGTGCAAATCCCAGGACCCCGCCTGCCCCCATACACCCCTACACCCTCATCCTCCATGGCAGACATTGCACCTTTGCTACCTAAAAACCCTCTCGATTATGCCATTATTAGCCAGGTGTTCTGTAGTCACAGCCAAACGCATTTCTAACTGATATACCTTTAAATCCTCACCACCTGTTACCACACATGCGTGATGTGCACACATGCTCTTTCATCTCTCACAGACATGTGCCCACACAGGCACTAAAATAACAATGCCTCCTCTACTCTGGCGCTTTTCTTTTCTGTGCCCACACCTACGCCCAGGCTGGTTCAGGCCCCTTGGATACCCCGCACTCAGTCCCAACACCACACGCCTCTGTTGGGCTCACCTCCATCCAGGTGAGCACAGGCCCACAGTTGAGGTTACTGTCCACCAGTCCTGACAGGGTCTCGAGGTACTGCAGCAACAGCGGCACCAGCATCTGGGGACAGGTTGTCAGGATGGGTTCTTGTGAGGGAGCCAAGAGCACCCACTGCCCTCCCACACTGCCCTCGCTCACCTCTGGGCAGGGGTGAAATTTAGCCTGGATACATGGTGCTGCCCAAGTGTTAAATACCGAATACGGTCATATCAGTTGGTAGACATGCTGTCCCAAGCTGCCCACCCTGCCATGGAAGCCCCTGGACTGCCCCATGATCCTAAAACTAAATGGAGCTTTTAGAACTCTGCTGCAGTTCTAGGGCCTCCTCATTCTGATTGGTTGGGATGTGGAGATACCAATGTTTAAAGACTTAACTATTCCTCCTGTCTCAGTGGTTTCACACATCGTTGTTGAGGGGCTGGGACAACAAGCCAGTTACCTGGGCAGCCCTGGCCCCCTCTGGAGGTGGAGGAAGCTCTGGGAGGCAGGAAAACCTCCGGTCAAATATGCACCGATGGAGGTGAGCATCCAGGGAGCGGAAGTCATCGTAACTGCGGAGCACTGGCCAGGAACGGCCCTGTGGGAGCAGGAGGGGCTCAGTGGCACAGGGTCCCATTACAGTGAGCTAAGGACCATGGTAATCAGTCCCTTGGCCTAGATGAGGGGCAGAGATGGCCTCACCTGACAGGTTACCTGCACCCCAAACACCAGCTCATTCTCTCCAGAGAGGCTGGGCCCTTCGCGCTCCGGAGACAGCAGGAGCTGCAGAGGGAAGCAAAGTCTGGCTGTGCTGACCACTCGGGCTGGCACTGTCTGGGGATACGTATGGATCCCGAACGTGCACCTCCTCATGGGCAGGGCCTGGTGATGTCTCAGTCAGGGCATAGGGCCCTGACACACAGCAAACACTCAATAAAAAGTTGTTGAATGAAAAAGGGAACAAGTGAATGAGTGGCTCCCTCCTTCCACCCTGTCCCTGCAACTGTTGTCATTGCTTCAGGGTGGGGTGGAGTTTCACCTCCCAGCTGGGTGCAAAGGTCCCATACCTGAATGTGGCCAAAGTCAACATTCTCATAGTGGAAATGGGCACAGTCAGCCAGGCGGGGGAAGGGACCTCGAGGAGCTGAGAGCCTGGAGGACAAGTGACACATCACCAATGGCTCCTGAGCTTGGTCCCTCTTCTCAGCTGAGTCTGTCCCTTATCCCTCACCTCTTCCCAGGCTTTCCCTTCACACTGGGGCCTCCTGTGGAGGGCAGGGGCTGCACTGAGCCCTCCCCTGGGCCATCCAGACTGTCCGTGCTTCGAGCCTGCAGAGCAGAGAGAAGAATCAGAGGACCTCAGAGATGGCAGCTAGGAGATAACAATGTGAGCATTGTTATCTACCAGCCTGGGTCTAGAGGCCTGGGTTGCTCCACACACTGTAAGCGGGTAGGAAAGGAGGAGTTGAGGGCAGATCTGAGGATGAGTTTGCTTTTCGTGTGTGGTCTGGGGTGATGGGGCTGAAAGAGCTTTGGCTGAGGGGGAGATGGCCAAAGGTCAGGCAGGAGAGCAGGGAGAGAGCGCGGCTGCTCCCAGTCCTCCCTGTTTAAACTCCTTTTGTGGTGCCCACAGAGTAGCAGTCATCTCTTCTGTGTGCCTCTCCATGCCTTTCCTCGTTGGACAATCACAGCCTCCATCTCATCGTCTTCCACTTCTAACCATCCCCACCCCCTCTCACACACACATACACACATACAGCTTCTCCTTCCAACAAGTGCCGGAATCATTTTCACAAAACACAAATCTGTCTGTCTCGCCATAGATCCTGGACCTTCAATGGCTCCATGCTATCCTCAAAATAAAGTCTGAACTCCCTGGCCTGACATTCAAGGCTCTTCTGAGATGGTCTCTGTTCATCTCTCTAGCTCCATCTGTCCCCATTGCCGCCACTCTCAGGGCTCCTCTCTGTGAACTTCTAAGAGACCAGCAAAAGCACCACTTTCTCATAAAAACTCACTCATAGTGATTTCCATTGGATTTTGAGGCAATAAATCTTTACAGAAGTAGATTATCCCATTTTTCTTCCATGGAACAGCTAGTGGGTTTGAATGGCCAACCTTCTGGTTAGCAATCAAATGCCTTAGGCACTATGCCACTAACCAAAAACACCAAACTCACTGCTATTGAGTCAGTTCCAACTCATAGCGACGCTCACTAGGTTTCCCAGGCTGTAAATCTTTACGGAAGTAGATTGCCCCTTCTTTCCGCGGAGTGGCTGGTGGGTTTGCACTGCCAGCCCTCCGGTTAGCAGTCAGATGCCTCAGGCACTATGCCACCAGCGCTCCCCATTTCCCTCTCAGCCTTTGTGAAGTCTGTTTCCTCTTCTGGACTCTTTCCCCCACACTTTCACTAGGTTCCCTCCTTGTCCCTCAGGTCTCAACTCACACAATTCCTCCTCTAGCACGTTCTCCCTGACCCTTCAGCTGGGTCAAGCCTCTTCATCCCTTGAGGGTCCCTCATCCCAGCCTGGATGACTGCCTGTGCTTCCCACATATCAGTTTCCCCCTATTACCACTCTGATATGTCACTGTCTGGTGATGAGTCCATCTCCCACAGTGGACTGTGACCTCCCAGGAGCAGGGCCCCATGCTCAACACAGCTGGGCATGGAGTCGGTACCTCTCACAGGCAGGGTTGTGCCTGATTCCTCTCTGGGTCCCCAGTGCCCAGTGATAGCTAGCTGGGTAAAATCTGATGACTAAATTAACCACCCGCCAGATGGGGACTCCCCAGACTAGGCTCTAGCTTCTTCCTCCTCCATGCCCCTGGAACCTCAAGTTCATCCTTGGGTTTCACTCAGGGTCTGCCCCCTCTAACCCATGAAGCTCCCCCAGGGTAGGATGGGCTCTGACTCTCTCTGTGCCTGGAGCATGAGGCCCGCACAGAGGAAATCTCAGTGAGTGAATGAATGGATAAATGAGCGGGAGAAGCATGGTGGGAGAGGGCCATGGCGGAGGAGGGAAGATGAGGACAAGAAGATGGAGTCAGGGGTGCAGTACTGGCTCCGGGTTGGGGAAGGGTGAAGAGGAGGGCAGGGGATGGAGAGGCTGAGGGAAAGGGTCAGGCTGATATGGGCGGTAATTCAGAAAGGGCCTGGGATGGGTGTGAAGGAGGGGGAAAGAGAAGAAAGAGGTCAGGCTGAGGATGGAGCGGGTGGGGGTGGGGCTCAGGAACGAGCAGGGGCTGGTGGTGGAAGGAGGCTGCAGGAGAGGGGGCCAGGCTGGTGGGGGTTGGGATGAGGATGCAGAGGACAGCGCAGGGATGGGGGCTGGTGAAGGATCTAGGAGGGCTCCCCAGATCCCTAAGGGGGCCACTAGGGGGGACGTAGGTCCTTCCCAGGACCAGCCCCTCCTTCCGAGCTCCGGTCCTAGGCCACTGTCATCCTCGTCCATGCCTGGGATGAGGATGCGCGCTGAGGAGGCGGGGGCGGGGTAAAGGTTTGGACTGAGGACCCGGCCAGGGAACGAGAAGGGACCGCGACCAGGGGTTAGGGGCGGCGCAGGCCGAGGGCTCGGGCGGGGCCGAGGGCGGGGCGCGCGGGGCGGGGCCGCGCGCGGACAGACAGACTGACATGCGGACGGACGGATAGACAGCCGCGTGGGCCCCTCACCACCATGGTCGCGTAGCCTCCTCAGGCCCCGGCAGCGCTCGACCCCTCGCTCGTCGTCCTCTTCGCGGCCGCTGCCGCCATGGCGACACAAAGGGGAGGTCGCGAGTCGCGCGCTGGCGGCTGCAGGCCCCGCCCCTAACGGCTGCCCGTGACTCTGGCGCGCGCCCCACAGGGGCGGGAGTAGCAAGACTCGGCGCTGCTTATTGGATCCACCCTTGGCATTAGGACTACGCCCCACCCATCTGCCGGCTTTTCACTGGCTTTGGCTAGGGCCCCATCTCTGGCCTGGTCCCTTCGGTTCCGCCCCCACAGAAGTTTGACAGCGCCACGCCCATAACCGCTTGTCATTGGCCCCTCATCCCCTCTGGAGACACACCCCCAGGTTCTTTATGCATGGCTTCCAACACTTCCAACTCCAAGCAATGGACCTTTCCCGTAGTGTATTCCAGGTGGCCACGCCTCTGACACTCATCTTCGGATTCTCCTAAGGCCTCGAGGCTTTGCCCCCCCCCCCAAGAGGCTTTTCTAGGACCCCTGCTGGCGCAGTGGTGAAGCACTCGGCTGCTAACAGGAAGGTCGGCCGTTGGAACCCACCAGGCTCTGCAAGAGAAAGATGTGGCAGTTTGCTGGGAAACGCTACTGGGCAGTTCTGTTCTGACCTATAGGGTCGCTATGAGTCAGAATCGTCGCTGGTTTGGTTATCTTTTAGCACCCTCTTGTCAGTTCAGATCCTGACTCCGATGGTAAAATCCTAAGAGCGCTCTCATGGACGTTTTCCATCCACTCAGAGGACCTGCCTAGGACGGAACCTTAGACTTTCTGAATCTAGTCTCACCCTACCCACTAGACATTTTCCTTGGCTTTGCCCCTACTTCTAATTGTAGGTTGCGCTCCAGCCTTGGGTCCTTTATCCTAAGAACAGATATAACTCCACTATCCAGAACATGGCCATGCACCTGCCATGAAACCAAGCCCAATGGATGCCCTCGTTAACTGAGCCAAGTCCAGAAAACACTCACTGACCCTGTCTGTGACAAAGTCCTTTCCAGCAGGATTCTCCCATTGGTCACTGTAAAATGGCTGCATCAAACCCCCCTAACTTGGGCATAGGGGTGGGGGGTGAAGAATAGTCAAGATCCACCCAAGGCCCAAAGCTGATTCCTCTGAGGTGAAGGTCAGACATTCCTCCACTCTCCAACCATTTTACCAATTCTGACGCCAGCCATTCCTCCCACTTCTCTACAGTTGTTGCAGCAGCCACGTAGAACTCACAGACCATAATTATGATTTGGGGGTTTGTTAGGGGAGTAACAGGTTACAATTGAGGATCAACTTGGAAATAACAGGAGGAATTGAGGATACAGTTCTTCCATCAGGACAGCTTCTTGGTGGTGTCTGCTCTGCTGCTGGG